CTCTGTCCCTCACGCACATCCCGCCGGGCCTGGCTCAGCTGGCTGCCCGACACCAGCTCAGGAGTGCAGCCTTCAGACCCTCCCACACCTGCCCAGGTGCTGAGCACTGTTGCTACTAACATCCTGCGTGCGTGTCTAACAGTGCGTTTATGTTCGCAACACTGATGTATTCAATGTTATTTTATTGTCTAATAGAGACCGTCCTTTGAGAGTAATTTATTCATCCGCCATCTGGCAGAGTGCCTGAGACAAACGAGCACTTGAAGTATGATTGTTGAATGAATCCGGTGCAGGATTGTCCAAGGCCTTCCATTTGTCACGGAGCCTGCCACCGTTCTGGAAGAGTTTCACACGGTGACAAACGATCGGGGGGGAAGGGATTACACTCGGGTCCTCTGTCTGTCTCAATGACGATGACCACCAAAATGCCCAGTCTCCCCTTGTTAATGGGCTCCATCGCCCGGAAAAGGTCACCTCTGCCCACTGTCCACACGCAGCCTTCTCGTGGAGGCCACTCCTGCCCACTGTCCCTGAGCAGCCTTCTCAGGGACAACTCAGGAGGCCGCTGGAGGCCACGGATTCCTGCCTGGGCTCCCCTCTCGCTGTGACTCTGCCAACAACACTGGTCGGTTCTCACTGAAGTCGCAGGCATAAGAGACAACACATCTTTGGTGGCCTAGTGACAAGAAGCTGTGCTACAATCCCGAGGGCATGCGGTTCGATGCCACCAGCTGTTCCGCGGGAGAAGGATGGGCAATCTCATCTGCCTCTGAAAGACCTCCGGAGTGTCAGGTACACAACAACCACCACCACTTGTTTGTAGGAAATGGATTATGCCTGGTTGTTTCCATGTCTTTATAGCAAACGTCCAGTGCATCTGATTCTCGGTGGGAGAAGAGCCCAAGGTCTCTGCAGGTTCTCCGAGGGAAGCATGGTGGCTGTAGCCTTCCCAAGCGCTTCTGCTGCCCTGGACTGGTCCCGTGTGAGCCCCAAGGATGTTACAACCGCACCGATCAGGGTGGACTGACTGAGGCGGTGACCCTGGGCCGCTCAGCTGGACTGTGAGGCCGGGGCGGGGCTTCCTTCTGTCTTACAGAGCCACTAAGACAGGATGGTCCCTTGGAACGAGACACCGGTGGACGCAGTCCCGTCCAGGGACAAGGCCATTTTCGTTAAGCTAACAAAGCACAGAGCGGGTGGGGGTGGGGGTGTTAAACCAATCATGGGCTCTGGCAGTCCCGAGGGAGGCGTGTTGCCAACCCAAAGAGGCCTAGCACTTCCAGTGGTTCAAAACCACCAGCGACTCCAAGGCAGACAGGCCGTGGTTACGATTCCCTGCTGACCTTGGCCTCACCTGCCAAGTGCTTCGCCATGGCTTGTTCAGTGACTGGACAGCCGACCACACGCCCACACGGTGATCCAGACTCACAGCGAGATGCAGAGCAGAGAAACCACCTCCAGGCCCAGGAGTCCCCAAAACATGCACCCCGCACCCTCCACCCCGCTGAGGGCCTCCTCTGAGCTGAGTGACTTCCTTTCATAGCCCACAGTCCTATCATTCTAGAACTCTCTCCTGAAGCAGGCATGCCTGGGGAAGTACGAGTGTTGTGTGCTCTGCTGGGGTTCACCCTCCAGAGCTGGACCTGGCCCGCGGCCGGCACTCGGGACGAGGTCACTGAGCCGGTGAGCAAATAAACACTCAGCCATCCTCCCACCCACTCCACGGCTGGGCCTCAAGCTGCCCTCAGCTGGGTGAGCACCTGGCGTCTAACTGAAGGCCGATGGTTAAAATCCACCATCTGCTTCACAGAAGTAAGTTGAGGCCGTCACTTGTGCACGGGTCACAGTTAGAGACCCAATGGGGCAGCTCCATTCTAAGTCACAGCGCCACCAGGAGTCAGAACCAACTCAGCAGCAAGAGCTCTGAGCCTGTGGCCTGTGTGGATGTCCCAGTGCGTGCACTGTGCTCGCTTCGGCAGCACATATACCAGTGCGTGCACTGGGCTAGAACACACCGCGCCCCTCCTCAGGGCTTCAGCTGGAGAGACCACTGCTTCCCAGAGCACAAGTCCACGCCGGCCCAACACTGCAGCTCTCACTGCCTGCGGACCTGTCACCGCTCCCCAGAGCACAAGTCCACGCTGGCCCAACACTGCGGCCCTCACTGCCTGCGGACCTGTCACCCCACCCCAGAGCAGAAGTCCATGCTGGTTCAACACTGCGGCCCTCACTCTGTGGACCAGTCACTGCTCCCCAGAGCACAAGTCCATGCTGGACACTGCAGCTCTCACTGCCTGCAGACCAGTCACTGCTCTCCAGAGCGGAAGTCCATGCCAGACCAACACTGCGGCCCTCACTGCCTACAGACCTGTCACCCCTCCCCAGGGCACAAGTCCATGCCGGCCCAACACTGCAGCCCTCACTCTGCGGACCAATCAACAGGTACAGAGATGAAAGAGATGCACTCCTCAGGAATCACGTCACCCAGGCCTGTGCTCAGACCCGTCCACCGCGCACAGGCCTTCAGCAGAGGCAGCATCGTGACCCACGAGTCCACAGAGAAGCGTCATGGCTAGATGCCAGGTGCAGAGACCCCCTGCCTTATCAGCGGGCGGCACAGACAGCACAGGGCAAGGTCACTGCTGTGTGCTGTCCAGCTGAGAGGCCGTGCCCAGGGCCCGCGACAAATCAGACAGGGCACAGATGGTACAGGGCATGGGGGTCACTGCTGTGTGCTGTCCAGCCGAGCCCATGCCCAGGGCTTGTGACAGAGAGTTGGCATCACTGCCATATGTCATCCTGCCCAGTTCATGGCCAGGGCCTGGGGCAGAGTAGACAAGGGGATAGATGGTACAGGGCACGTGGGTCACTGCTAAGCGTCCAGCATGTCCCCTCCCAGGCCTTGATAGAGCACGAAGGAAGCTCTGGGCTGTAATGTCCCACAGGTCCCCCCCCAGGCCCATAATGGAGCAGGAAGGGAGACCCAGGCTGTAATGTCCAGTGGGTCCCTGCCCAGCTCCATAACTGAGCATTACGGGAGCCCTGGGCTGTGATCCTGGGGGGAGGGCTGGGCCAGAAGCCTTTTGGATAGTAGCTAAATGCTTAACCACTGCACCACCAGGGCTCCTTTTATATAAGACTCAAAACTCCAATGAGACTAGAGAGCACAGTCCAGGCCCTTGAAATGTGCCTCCAGGGGTTCACCTGAGCTGCCCCTTGACTCAGAAGCATTCTTTAGCCACAGCTCTGGCACGGAACTTGCTTTCACAATGTCCTTGACATTCACCTCTAAATTCACAGCATTCACACTGGAAATTCCCTCAGAGGCAGGGAAAGGAAATGAATAAGCAGACAACTGGATGAGCATGTATCGTGAAAGCTAAGAGCATGGCAGGATGAGACCCAGCCCCAGTGACAAGAGCCCTCCGCATGTGAGAGAAGCATCTGTGAGAAGCAGCTGCTCAAAATGCAAGAGGCTCCCGTCCAATCACAGCCAGCTTAAGGAAAAGCTACCAGATCCCGTCCAATCACAGCCAGCTTAAAGAAAAGCTATCGGATCCTGTCCAATCACAGCCAGCTTAAAGAAAAGCTATCGGATCCTGTCCAACTACAGCCAGCTTAAGGAAAAGCTACTGACTGTTCTCTTTTCTGGGCTTGGTGAAATAGGAGAGCGTGAGCCTTCTCTGGGTCCTGACTATATAGGCTGTCAGATGGCCCTGGGGAACAAGGGTCAGCGGGTATCACTGGGGTGCTGTTGGGCACAGCCTCCTTACCGGCCAGAGCAGGTGGACCAGGGACTCCTCCTGGAGGATGATGATGGGCACCGGGGTGATGCTGGCAGCCTGGAACAGGGTGTTCAGGGACGCCATGGTCTGGTCGAAGCGCCCCGCCAGCCCGCCTAGGACCACAATGACGTCCACCTGAGGGAGAGAGCAGACGTCAGAGAGAAGTCAGTCATCCAAGTGCATACAGAGCAGATCTGGGACACACGGAAACACCACCAGGACACACACAGTGCATACGGAGTGTGTACGGAGCAGATCTGGGTCACGTGGAAACACCACCAAGACAAAGTGCACACGGAGTGTCCGGAGCAGACCTGGGTCACGTGGAAATGCCACCACGAGACAGGTGGTATGGATTGTGATGTAGACAACACTGCGACACAGTGAGCCTTGTGGTGGGAAGGCCCTCAGCCAGAGCTGGCACCACACAGAGTGGCCTGAGGTCCAGGAAGGACTGCCGGCTTGTCCCAGGCATGGACACCCACACTCCCTCTGCAAAGGTAATGCCTGACCCTGGGGTCTGCACAGCTGGGGTTTTTGGAGCTGGGCCCTGGGAGGCTCAGAAGAAGCGCAGGAATGGGGCTGAGCGGGTACTGGGTCATCAGAAGAATCCGGAAACACACGCTCACACCGTCCAGCATGCCACCACACTGGCCAAGAGCTGCAGGCTCCATGCCCTGCGTCAGTGTGCAAATGCACCCTCTTTTGAGGGGCTGCAAACTCCACGCCAGCCTGCGATGTGAGGAAGGCAGAAGCTCAGTGAAGCCGAGTCACCAGGGGCTGGTCAGGGAGGGGGCAGAACTGGGAAATGCCAGCAGGTTCCCACAGAGAAGCCCACTCACCAGCCGCTGGTCATGGGGTGGACAACATATGGGAATCCAAATTTCACACTAAACCCCGAACACTACTCCAGGTTTTGAGGGAGGCTGATACAAGCTGGAATTCACCCTGAAGCACTAAGGAAATCCTTAAATGTCGATGGGGTCGACACTAAGGCAGTCCTTAAATGTTGGTGGGGTAGACACTAAGGCAATCCGTAAGCTTTACAGGATTCTTGTATTTGTTAACCCCTCCCTCCTGAATCAAGCAGAAGGTTTTCACTAGAAAGAGCCTGGCTTCATTTGCATTGACTAATTCTCTTGGTTATTTGCTCCCTGGCAATTTTCAATAAAGACACAGGGAAACTAAGGTCAGTGCTTCAGTTCCCTTCAGTTGTTTGAGAACTTTTCACCTCCTGCTTCACCTCTGTTTTCTCCTACATTCTTGGTGTTCTGTCTCGTTATTAATATACTTTACCCTTGTTTGCAACACAGCACTGGGAAGGTGTACCGGATTCCCATGCCCAGTGAGCCGCAGGCCAGAGGGGACAGCCCGTGTGCCTCCTGCAGCTGACCGCTCACCATTGTCCCAAGAAGCAGACAAGCTCAAGCTGATGACCTCTGGCTAGAGGTGCAATTCTTTAACCACGGTGCCACCCAGTGCCTTTGAAAATGCAGCCAAACCAAACTGCTCTGGCTGAGACGAGTCCGAGTGTGGCCAGCCTCCACTGGCTGTAAGGCTGGTCATCTTAGCAGGAGGGGCTGCTGGCCTTTCAGCTCCTAGCGCAGCATTGACCGGGTCTGGCCCTGGCCTCTTCCACAAGGTCACATGGGCACCTATTAACCTCCTGGCTTTGATAAGACATTGATGAGCCGGACCCCAGCCTCCATGTACATCACTGACTCTGAGGCTTGAGGACAGATGGCTAGCAGACCCGGTCCATTAGATACAGCAGAGACCTCCTACTGCACCCCACCACATAACCATGCCAGTGAGGACTTGGAGATGCAGCATTACACAGCGAAGGCTGTGATCTCAAGCTAGGAAACCCCGGCCGGCTGGAGGGATCCTTCACTTGTGCTTTTCATTTAAAAATGGTTCATAATAGCCTGTGCCTCTGAAGAGGCCCAATGTAGTGGGCACAGTTCAGTGCGACACAGGGATGAGAAATGACTCACTCGGTTACTTGTCTTGAGCCAGCAGACGGGATTGCCTGGCATAAGATTTATGGCCCCAGAGTCCAATGCACACTAGGCTCGACCTCGGAAGGACCCACTCCAGTGAGCTGGACCATCAGGGCAGAGTCTCTTTTGTCAGAGAGGATTGGCCTATGGGACAGAAGAGGACAGGTGCGACAATACAGCCCCTCAGTTCCCTGAAGGAGGACAGTGACAACTTTGCTTCAAGCTGCCTTTGGGAACAAACAAGAACAGTAGGGAGGGTGTGGGACCAGAAGGCATCCTCCAGGTCATAATACAGGGGCGTGTGGGGACAGAGGGTACCTGTGATGTCGGGAATACAGGAATGTGTAGGGTCAGAAGGCACCCCAAGGTTGTAATACAGGAGCATGTGGGGTCAGCGGGCAGCTTGTGAGGTCAGGAATACAGGAGTCCATGGGGTCAGAAGGCACCTTTGAGGTCATAATACAGGAAAGAGCAGGTGGGGTCAGAGGGAATCCTGTGAGGTCATAATACTCCTGTATTGTGTGCGTAGGGTCAGAAGGCACTCTGTGAGGTGGGGAATACAGGAGCATGTGGGGTCAGAGGGCACCCATGAGGAGTGTGTGGGGTCAGAGGGCACTCTGTGAGGTTGGGAATACAGGAGCATGTGGGGTCAGAGGGCACCCTGTGAGGTCATAATACTCCTGTATTGTGCACGTAGGGTCAGAGGGCACTCTGTGAGGAGTGTGTGGGGTCAGAGGGCACCGAATCTGATGTCTGAGTCAGGTAGGGAGGATGGTGGACAGTCCGGCATCAGCACGCATACATGGCTAAGACCAGGCTGCACTTCTGGTGGCTGCCACACCACTAGGACTCAGAGGCACTGTCCTGGCCCCTGAGCTTGGAAGTATCATGTGAGGAATCTCAGGTGAAATGACTGCTCCTTCCGGGGAAGAAACACTGAACAGCTGCTGTTCTATACTGCAGGATGAAGTTAATGGCCCACATTGAAGATGCGTCCAAGCAAACAGGAAAACAGAAACGTGTGTGTTTGAGAATCGGAATCCCACAATCACTGCCTAAAAGGCTACAAGTTCAAGTCCACCCAGGGGCACCTTGAAAGAGAAGCCTACTGAGCCACTTAGAAGAGTCAAATACAAAACCCCCAGAGTGCTCCCACGCACAGGGCTCTGCCCCCTCACACACACAGGGCTCTGCTCCCTCACGCACACAGGG